AAGTGCTCAATGCATGGCCCCTGAAGCTATTATCATGATACTGTCCATAGAGTCTTTTAGGCATTGGCTAGTCAGGCTTTGTATTTAATTGATTAATGTATTCATTCAGAAAGTCTTTGCGTCTTCCAATAGGTAATAGACTGCAGCCTCACTCCCCTCCCCATCCTCCCATTTCCTCCAGTGAGATTTCTTCTCACCACAGTCTCTTGCCTGTATTATTCTTTATTCTGCAAGCTAGAAAAAGGTACTTTCTCCAGCTGACAATTTAGGAAAAGATACTTCCTCCAGGCTGTCCTGAGGCATCAGCGCAGGGGCTAGAGTCGGTCTCCACTTGTCACCTGGGCTGGGTGTTTGTGTTCAGTGCACACGCCACCTGACTAATCAGGATGATCCTGTTCTATATTCCTGCTCATCCTTTCTCTAAAACAGGCCCGGCTCCATGGCCCCCATCAGCTGTGGAGTGAGGTCAAAAGTGATGCACAGATAGGGCGACCAACTCATTTGGTTTGCTCAGAATTTTGCAGGTTTTAGCACTGGCAGTCCCAGGTCCTAGGAACCTCCTCAGTCTTGGGCAAACAGGGATGTTTAGTCTCCCTATGCAGAGATGTGGTTAGTCACGAGGCGTATTACAGTGGTGGTGGTGGGGGGGGAGTCAGAGAATACTGAAGCTCCCAAGAAGCAGGGTCTGGATTTTCTTTGCAAGAGCAGGAAAGGAAATAGGCTTTCTGCAATCATGTGGCTTGGTCAGTTCTTCATTTGCAAGGGACTTGGATGACTTTGGAAATTTAGGAAAAACTGAGACCTTCTTAGCAAATACTGGGGTGAATTGTGGGGAGGGGGGAGTCAACAAGTAGAAATAAATGTGAATTATTTTTTCACATGATAAATATGATTAATGACACTGTGAGTGAAAGTATTTTCTTTTTAACCAAGGAACTAATATTAAATTAGTGATAAAACCAGGTTAAATCACGGAAGCAACTGGGAATTCTGTTCAGTGAACAGAGAACTGTAGGAAGAAAAGACAAATGAGCTAGTACCTGATTCCTGGGATTTCAACCAAATTGTAATAAATGAACAGAGTGAGTCTCTTTAAATATGGGTTTTGTGGGCAAAGGAGATAAGAAATGAGCTGACAAGGGAAGGAAATGCAACAAAAGAGAGGCGTGGTGTGAACGTGGCCTTAACCTTGGCCGTGGCTTCTGGTGGGTGATGCCTCAGTTACTGGGTGTTAGAAAGCAACGTCTTTGATTGTCCACACCTTTCAGCACCAGAAAGGTGCCCAGCAGCTGACTTGAGTCTGTTTAGCTATGATTCATTTCTCTGGCCATTGGGTTAAAGGAACCATCGCTATATGTGGGATATAAATTCTGCCCCCTTTTTTCTTCCTCATCAGGTCAAGTTTTCAATAAGCGAAGCCACCACTTTGGCAGATTTGTTAACCTTGCGGTTACACCACGTGGAAGATGATGTCCGAAGCATTGTGGACAAAGCAGCGAAAGAACTGGGGACTGAAAAGGTAGTGTTCTTGGTGCTGTTTCTTTTCACACTGGGCTAATTCTGGGTATTTGCACATAAGCAGACTCAGGGAGAAGTCCCCATGCCATGGTTGTGTGGGGACCTGGGTCCTAGCCTGTTCTCTGGTGCTCATTAGCACTGTGACTTGGGCAGGAAACGGATTCTTCTAAGCCACAGGTAATGTGTGTTGGCCCAGCTGTTGGTGCTAATAGCAGAAAACACATATCATTTACTGTGTAGCAAGTACTGCTCAAAGTGCTTGATTTATATTAATTCACTTAATGAAGGTAGGGAGGTAGTGTTAGTACCCCTATTTTACAGATGGGGAAACTGAGGTAGAGAGAGGGGTAATTAACTTACCC